CCATCAGCTAGCAACACAGCTAACATAGCACAGAGGAAGCTAACAGTAGGATATTGGCATTTTGGAGGCATTTTACACCAATAGCTGCTGTTTCCACTTACATAAAAAACTTCTGCAAACATACAAACTGTGATCAAAGTAAGCAGACATGGCTGAAAAGATGAGACGACTATGCTCACTATCATTTACTTTCACTCTTGTCATGTTCGAGTCTTTACACGTGAAGCTAGTAGGAGTTGGTGTAACACCTGTCAGTAAGCTTTTATTACACTTATGTTAACATAAAATGTTGTTGTCACCGCAATTAAATATGATTCCACTGCAGCTGTCTCCTGTCAGCTGCACACCTGCTGCAGTTTGCGGCCTCATGACTCTCACTTTGATCCAAAATAAGATCAGTGAAAATAAATTAGTTGAACAAGACAAATACATTATTTTTCCCCCATTGTATTTCTCCTGGACCTGTCTTCATTTATTATTTCACTGTTTAAGTCGAACTTGATGTTTTTTTTCCATATATCTATCTCTCTCTATATATATATATATATACACACCCAGTAGGGCTGTTCGATATAACGATATATATCGGATGACGATATCAAAACGTCTATCGTTTCATTTTACACTATCCTTTGTTTCATGGTGTCGCAAAATAAACTCTTTAGGGCATTATTGTTTCATCGTTTTGATGGTCACTGTAGTGGCTATATTAATTTCTTAAAGTTCTCTCTTTCTCTTATATTTTATATAACCACACAACGGACAAGCGCCTGTTTTTATGCGTTGTGTTTAGCAACAACGACGGTAACACCATCGCGTGTCTGCTTGTTTATCTTCCACATAAACCTTTCACAATAAAGCTCAAGATCCTGTCTAGACTTTTCAAAATAAACATGAAACTATACATTTTTAGACATAAGTTGTAACGGCCGCCATTTTCTTTGTGAGTATTTATTACACGGCGTGCTGCGGGGAAAAGCCTGTTCTAACGTTTCAGTCTAAGGTTTATTTTTTAGCACCTGGCGGCTCTTTTTTACTTCTCATCCATAAATAATCTGCTCTTTCACGTTAATCTGCATCTGTTAAAACACTCGACTCCAGGTACATGACGCGCAGCTGGAAACACTTCCCGCAAGTCGAGCTGCTCGAGATTCACAGAATTTTCAGGAAATGTTACATTTTTGTGCTTTATATCGTTATCGGGACGATAGAATTCTTATATCGGGATATGAGATTTTGGTCATCTCGCACAGCCCTAATACCCAGTCTTTTTCTCACAGTGAGGCATACAGATTATTAATTTAACAGCGTTATTGATAGTAACTCTGTATTGGCAGACACTTGAAGCCAAAGTCTCCATTTCGAATTGGAAGCGGTGGAAGACAGGTTCTCACATTTTCCAGCCAGCTGCTGCAGTAATTACTCATTCTAAATCAAATCAAGTGGAAATATGACTGTTAAATTGCCTCGGTGTCTGAACTTTAAATGGCTATAACTACAAGCTCTTGTATTCGTTTTAATTTCTTACCGTGTTATCTTAAAGTATGTAAGTACATAGAAAGGGAAGTTTCTGTTTGTCCAATGGTTCAAAGAAAACTGTAGTGCACCTGCTATTTTCTATGAACGAAAATTTTAAATATTGAGGTCAGTGTATGCTCAGTTTCAGACTTTTTTTTTGGGTGGGGGGGGTCTCTTAATTATGTCACTGAGACAGATATCCCATATATATCCCATATATGGTCATTACAGCTGTTGCTGAGTGTGCAGATGCCCCACCCACATGCCATTAAACCCTTCTGTCAATGGCAAAGTACATTGAAACTGGAGGTTTTGGTTTCACAGCTCATTTCAGACATCTAATCAACTGATAGTGTAAAAGTAGCGATTATTTGGTCTACTAATGCTGAAATGCCACTCTATCAGGACACAAGATTATAAATACACAAATGGAAATGTGAATAACAGACCACAGTTTTAAAAAACACATAAAATATTGCAAACGTGATGCAATTTCATTTTCCTTACAAAATCACTCTGCACTAAAAAGACTGGCTAACGAGTGTCTCTCTTTGACCTACAAAGGAAGAACTCCAAATATAAGAAGAAATACTAGTATCTTGCTCATGTAGTCTGCACATCACTTTGTGGACAACAATAGTCTTTTCATCCTTCGCATCCTTCAAAAAGCTTAGACTAAAACATCCTTCGTAATGTGAGGATTGTATGGTAAAGTTTTGCTGCTGCTGTAATAACCACCTGCGTGTTTGCCACATATTCTGAATGTAGGATCTCATGCCACAACAGTAACCACGGCTCCCTAAAAATAGCAGTCTATACCATCTTAATTATGCAAGAGAACTAAGCCAGTCTCCCAAAAACCACAGGAGGAAACGTTGCATGGCCTGATGAGGTCAAAGCACTCAACGGTATCACTCAAACATAGTGATGGTGACATAGACAGAGGTAGACTCTGTGGTCAGAGGGAAGTTAAAAACATGGTATTTTGAGGAAAAACCTTTTTGACAAAAAAGGAAAAAAAAAAGATTTTTAATGTACAGCTGGAAAAAATGCACTACATCTTAAAAAAAAAGTCAATGTCTGCCCTTGAGGCAAAAAAGAAAAAAGGAAAATCTTCATGCAGTGTATTTCAAATATTGATATATGCAGTAAACAAACTATTAAAGTTTCAGCACCTATCTCTACAGGAATAAATAATAAACATGTTATGTCTGACAACCCCCCTTGCACGCAGGGCAATCTCGGCTGTGGACAGCGAGAGAAAAAAACAATAAACACAGCACGCTATTACGTCACCACCCTCCTAATGGGAAAAGCATCTCTCTCACTTTGTCACGTGAACTGACTGAACATCTCAGTTTTGCATCTGGAGTCCCAACCAAGTTATTTTCTTCTCAGCAAAGCCTGAGGGAATTTTTTTCACTTGATAGGTAAAGACAAAGACTGTTTCACCACAGTTCTTCACTGCCCTCTAAAGGCTGCAAACAGCAAAGGGAAATCCAGCAGTATGAAATTTTGCCAGCTGTACCATAATCTGTATGGAGCTCAGCCTCGACCAGACCAGCGTGACATTTCCAAGGCTGGAAAAATTATTCATAGCATCGCCACACTCTGAATTAAGCTGTGGCTCTGTTTACCTGAGTGGTCTTGTTCTGTTCTACTCTTGCACTTTTACTCCATGTCTTCAATCTATAAAATGTGGAAATGATTAAGTGCAAAAATAAATTAAAAAAATTAATCCAATTTTCATCTTTGACTGAATCATTAAAATTCTCTAATAAAGCGACAAAATATCACAAAGCAGGAAGAATGTCAGAACCTTTTTTTTCCTACATTATATTTTTACCGCAATAACAGGCCTCATTCCCCCATTCTTATAGCTACAACCTTTCTTCATTATATTGAGAAATGCTTTCATTAAGATGATTGGGATTGGTGATTGGGATTTTGCATTAAACTGCCCGACAGAATAATTGCTTCAGAATTGACCAAATACAAGTCAGAAGCAATACAAAGACAATAGAATAACTAATCCTATAACACAACATAAAACATCACATGTAGTACAATATGCATTTTAATACACATTAGCCAGACCTTTGTATTGATAAGGCTATTACACATGTATAGTACTGTGCAGGTTTCACCTTGTTGTCCAAGTTTTTTGGGGGGGTTAGACACTGGCTGCTATTTCCACTCATTTTCAATCCAGTCCTTGTACTGGACCATTTCCAGGAGAATCTTATTTAATAGTTTGTATTTTAAATTTCATAAGCCATTTAACACTGACCTGTGAATAATTCATGCACAAAAAGGCATCTAATTCAAGTGATGAACCCATTCCATTTACACGTATTAGACAATTTAGCAAAGAACCCATTTTAAATTGTATCACCTTCAGCCTAGGTGATTCCTAAAGAACTACCAGCTGAAAACTTAGCATCTCTCAGCATTGTGTGAATCATGGTTGATTCCCATACTGTCCAATTCAATTTGAATTCAATTTGATTTATACAGCACCAAATTACAACAACAGTCGCCTCAAGGTGCTTTATATTGTAAGGTAGAACCTACAATAATACATACAAAGAAAAACCCAACAATCATATGACCCCCTAATAGCAAGCACTTTGGCGACAGTGGGAAGGAAAAACTCCCAAAGCCTCATCAGAAATGGTTTCAGTGGAAAGGTGGCTGTGACGAAGGTATTCTTAAGTTAACAAAGAAAAGGTGAGGTCTGCCAAAGTATACAAGAACTGCACTGAAAATCGGCAGCAACAGGTTTAATTAAGTGATGAATCTAAATTCAGAAATTGTTGGTTCAAACTTCAAACTTGTTATCAACATGTGCATGGGGACATAATAGTGAGTATCTGAAGCCATCACTAAAACACGGTGGAGACGTGGTCATAGTTTGGGGCTGCATTTCAGCCAGTGATGTCAGAGATCTTGTCAAAATTGATGAACACAGAAAGAAACCAGCAGATTTTGATCCACCATGCAAAACCATCTGAAAAATCATCTGCCTGGCAGTGCATTATGATGGAGGGAATGCGATACCTTAGGCCTGAGTAACATAGACCTAGACACCAGTCAACAACGAGGTGGATGAGTGGCTGCTGGAGGTTGGCTTGCTGTCATTGGGTGACACTGGTCACAGACAGGTATACGGTTGCTTGCAGATTGCTGTGGCTTGCACAGAAGATGCTGACTCCTCTGCAAACACTTTACTACCAAGAAGTATTAAAACTAAAGTGCGATACAAACTGCAAACTAAGAACATTTGCCTTCAAATTGAAAGTTTCGCCTCTCTACTGAAAATAACACGTTTAAATAAACTTTTACTTTTAAGGCGAATGGTTGAGAGTAGTTGGCAAGTGTTTGCAGACTAGTCAGCATCTTTCATACAAACTAAAGTTAACCAAAGCAATCTGCTAGCAACCGTATACCTGTTTGTGACCAATTTCACTTAACAGCAGCAGGCAACCTCCAGCAACCACTCATCAAACAGACCTGTGGATACTCCAAGTCTCACTGATTGGCCTCTTGGTGCATGACTGTGGCTTAAAAAAAAAAAATCTATTTCACAGAGATTGCCAGCAACCACTTGCAACTAATTGGGAATACTCACTTTTCCCTAGTAACCAGTGGTTACCAAGCAGTCAACAACCAGACTCTAGGCCTGTATGACCAGGGCCTTAACAAGTCCACATAATCCTTTCATACTTTCTGTAAGGGGGCATGGGTATACATTATCAAAGTGCAAAAGATGCCGCTCTCATAACTTCTGCTTTACAAGAATATTAAAAGCAACACTTACAAGTTGTATGCAGAAAAACTTCTAATGTTAATGTTTTGTTTTTTGGTTTTCATTGTGTTAATTTGGAAATCAAGTTCAAGTCTCTGCTTGACGTTTAATTTATGTTTCATATAACCGTTCTGCTGTAATTCTTACAGCATGGGGATTTTCCAAACTAACTACTTGACTATTTTCTAATGAAACTGCACTTTTCTTCCAAACCAGACCACACACAGAAAATACTCAGGCTTTAAGCAGCTCCCTCTGATGATCTGCGATGGCAGACATCAGTCACATTCATGTGCGAATGACTGCCAGCTTACCATTCAATTCATTAAGCTCTAATTTTCTTAATTGCAGAGTGAAATGATTTGATGCGATGCAGCTGTCTGCTGCTTAGCAATAAACTCCTCAGAGTGACCTTTGCTGGCAAAACAACATGCTTGTAATAATTGTGATTAATAGCTGGAAACACAATCAGGCTGCCGTAAGGAGCTATCAGCACATCTCAGGATAAAAAGTCTTACCGGCACAGAAGATGCGGAGCTGCTGAGCCGGTGATATGAGGTTGAGGTGTGTGGTGAAGAGGTCCACAAATGCACCAGGATAAACTACGAACACAAACATCCCAAATCCATTCACTCGCACTTGCTCCCTGCGTGAGAACAGAAATAAGAAAAAACAAAGAAACATTAGATTTTAAAGGGAAACAGACTCTATGAGGGGTGTCAAACATACAGCCTGAGGGCCGGAGCAGAAGGAAGATAAAGGAGGTCATCATTTTTGGATTTTTATCATGACCTAGAAGACAAGGAGCCATGCCAATGCTTTCTTTCAGCTATGATGGAAATATTTCATTGCAGACTACCAGAAAGTGAAAGAAGCGACAGTGGAATCCCACTCATTTTATTTATTTCAGCCTTGCCATCATGGATCGGATTGATTGGATTGATTCAATACAAATGAAAATATTCCAACAGTACTTGTATTTCTTTATACATACAGCGTATTATCAAGTGGTTTTACTGGTCTAGCCCTGTCTGACACCCTACAAAGGAACTTGCCCTGAGGCCAGTCTCTACAATTGTATACACAAAACCGGTGAGCTCAGAAGGCAGAGCAGGTCACCTACTAATCAGTTTTGTAGTTTGAGCCAGTCTGCATGTCAAAGTATCCATGGGCAATATATTGAACCACAGGTTGCTCTCTGATGTGTTGATTGGAGTGTCATGTGTGTGAAGGCATAGAAAAAAAGTCCTTGTATAAATGGGTGCGAATAAGTGAACAAGGCAAGCTGTATAAAGCACTTTGAGTGCTCAAGTGAAGTAGAAAAGCACTATATAAGACCAAGTCCTTTTACCATTTACCACAAAAGCCCACAACATACAAATGCACAGAAAACAGTGCACTTCAAGAAAGCACTTACACTGTACTTACAATAACAGCGCAAAATATTGCACTATTCATTCAATTTTCACCTAGAATCAAATGTTCAAGCCAATTTTTGGTCCTTTAATTTAACAGAGGGTAAACTCTCCTGCTAAGAGAGAATCTTTGTTAACAGCTGGTACTCCAACAACTGAAGTGGTGGAAGCTCCTGGGCAACGCTGGGCAGCTTCCAGGTTTTGGGCACAGTGAGGGAAAATCTTCAAAATCTAAGGTATGACAGATACATAAGAAATGGCAGACTTGATTTACGCTCTCAACGGTAGATAGACTGGTGACAAGCATATGACAGACTGGACCACTTCCTGATGGGAGTCATGTGGTAAGAATGCTTTTTCTTTTTTGAAGGCTTGTAATTAGGTGTTTTAGGGGGTACATGACATACCATGGATGTGCACATGAGATAGGGCACACCTACTAGAAAAAGGCAAAGAGCAGAGCTCATGTGAGATCAAACTGGGCTTCGCTGCCCTTGAACTCAAATGACACACCAGACTCCACTAAACGTATAAGAAGTCTTGAGACCTTTTAGACAAACACACTATTGTGTCTGTGAATATTTAGAGGCAAACATAGATGTAGCTTCTGGGAAGTGTGGAGGTACCTTAAACCTTCAAATAGAAAGCAAGGGGAAACATCTGGCTCCAAGCAGAAGCCGGCTTGTATAAGAAGCTATGGGAAAATCTATTCTGGCGCTCACTGGATATTTGACCTCAGTAAACATTTTGCTAGTAATTTCATAATCTAATTTTTTTTTTAGATTATGTGGTTATTAACTGATATGTAATTAAAGCGGGGTGTACTTAGGGCAGAGCCAATGTGCAGTAAGGGAACGCTATTCGCCTCAGGTGTGCAGCAGCACTTGGGGTTACTAAATACGACTGCAATATACAGGGTTCATCAAAAAGAACCATCCAATTTCAAAAGGCTATATTTGTTAAAGTAACAGACATAGAACCTTGAAATACATTTTAAAATACATGGCTGAATATAATGTTTTATATACAAAACTTGCAATTTTCACAACTGCTCAGCAACCACATGAAACTCATGGATCCCCTCTTTGTAACAACGCATCTTTCGATTGTTACAGGCGAACAGCTGCAGAATTACAGCACTTTGAAATCAAACAACTCTTTTTGATACACCCAGTATATATTGGACTGAAAGTTAAGAATTCATTGTTAATTTAGTGCAACAGAATTTACAATAAACATCCTTTAAAAAAAATCAAAACAATCTTTGGCTTGCCCTTTGGTGTGGTGGAAACTAGTACAAAAACTACTCGTTTTTGGCTTCCTTGAACCCCTGTTTGACTGAATCAAGATACTGACTTGACTGTTTATGGATGTACATATTTTTCAAATGTTAATTCTTTTCCTATATTTGTCATAAATACATACCACTGTACTTGGAACCTAGCCCCCTACTGCCTTCACGTTTATCTGTACACAAGTTGTATCCTGTATTAAAATAAGTGCAACCCTTTTGAGAAAAAAAAATCCTCCAGCAGAGGTTAATCACAGTCTTACAGACTGAATCCACATGAAAGAAGTCTTTGAGGCTCCTCACTTAAAAATCACTTGTCTGAAATCAGTGGCTTTGTGAAAAATAGGATGATGCAGAAGATCAGAGGGGTCATCTGGACCATGTGCTATGCACACTAATTCATTAGTTTGGATTTGCACAATCCACCTAATCATTAACTGTAATCAGAACCAATGCACCATGAAATAAAAATCAGGAATGAATTAAAGGGATTTTTTGGGGCTCATCAAAATCACACAAAGTGAGCAAGTAATACAACGCAATGAAACGAAATCATCAGCAACTTGTGGTTTTGAATTTGACATCAAAACATGCGATTAATACAAAAAACACATTTAATTTCCACTGTACCTGGACAGCCTAAGCCACTAATTTTATCAAACCGGTGTTTTAAGGTCAAATTTAAATACTAAAGTAGCAGAAACACATTCTACTTAAAGCAGAATAGAAGGCAAAGGGCTCTATATTTGGCTCATGTCTGCAGGCACATTGTCCCATCTTTAACAATCCTTTATCTCTGATTCAGATAAATCCTTTATCTTAATCCCGAAAGGTTATCAAGGGACAAGATTATAAATCAGGCTCCTCTCCTGTGGAACCAGCTCCCAGTTTGGCTTCAAGAGACAGACGTCCTCTCTACTTTTAAGACCAGGCTTCAAACGTTTTGAGCAGAAGTCTGACATACATTTACAACGTCCTCCTTGCAAACACACTTGTAGTATTGGAGTCTTTGTATTCTTTCACCTTTCTGGAGTTTAATATATTATCCACCAACAAAACAAATGCTCTTCATCATGATGGATTCATGCTGGATGCTATGTTGACACTACAATGTGGTGCGGTGTGGTTATTACCTCAGTGCTGCCACAGCGTGGCCCAGCTCATGTATTACTCCACTGAGCAGCAGGGCGATGAAGAAGTAGGCCAGCTGACTTGTGGGTAGATTAACACCGGGGACCTAAAGACACACCAGAGACAAAAAAAAAAAAAGAAACTGACTAAGATATGAACATAAAACATAATTCACAGAGTTAAAAATCAGCATTTATGGTTAGTTTTATCCTAAAAATGAAGAGCCAATTTAACCACAGTGTAACATCTTCCCAAATAAAAAATTCTAATTTGTATCACCACATTTAATTTTTGTTTTGGTTCTTCACGTTAATTGCTTGGTGTTTTGCTGAAGCTTGTGGTTTTCTGCATTTTTTCTCCTTCTGACTAGATTTTTTTTTCTTCTCCAGGCTGAATTCTTGGATATAAATGGCCCACTAATAGCTTCCCATGAATCACCTACAGAGCTCCACTGGGGATAGGGCTCACATTTATGCACGGTTATTTGACACCATAATGAATAAAAAGTGAACAGGGAAACACTTCTGAAAAGCAGGGGTCTTTTTTTTTTTTCATGGCACAGACATTTGAATTTCACACGCTTATGATCAACTCTGAAGGCTGTTTTTATCCAGTTACACACAGAAAAGAGACACAAAAGCTTACAGATTTAAATCTGATGAATACTTGCCATTTTCATTCAGCTGATGGAACTTATGTATAGAAATCACATTAAAGTCAACCTACCACCACCTGCAGGGTCTGTTGATCTCCAATCCGTGGGTTGTCTGTGGTCATCTGAGCGATGGTCTGCTGCAGAGTCCTTATCAGCAGCACCACTGAGCCCAACATGGCAGCGATACCAAACACCAGACCACTGTTGAACCTGGGAAACACAGATGGGATGCAAATTCAACAAGTGCAATTTTGCTGTACTTTTTTCACATTTATAAATGTGAAAAAACGAAAGATTATTAAAGCTACACAACGGGAAAAACACCTGGAATTGAGAAACTCAGAAATGCCACACCAAGTCAGTTCCACACTAAGAGTATTATTTTTAAAAACAGTCACTACTACAAGTCATCTACTATAAATCCAAAAGTTTGGGGGTGTTAGCATAAAAAATATGAATCAATAAAACAAACATGTAAAAACTGGCCTGTCCTTCAGGTTCCTTCCTAAACTGTGTCATGGGAAAACAACTTCTTTGACCAGACGCAGATAGCGTCAGGACCTTTACCTTTGAGAGTAGAGTTTAAATCCTACAATCCAGACCAAATCCTGACCGGACCTCATCGCCTACAAACAGTCCAGAATGCTGCTGTGAGGCTTCTCATCACGTCCTCTAAATGGTCCTGGCTTTACATTGGCTTCGAATTAAAGCTTAGGATTCAAATCAAAATTCTTTCAAATCTCTGACAGTCAGATGCCCCTCTATATTAGTCAGCCTTTAAATCCATATGTAACTAGCAAGACAGTACAGTTTATTGTTCAGTGCTGCTAGCTGTCCCACAGTCCAGGTTAAGGAAGAAAGGAGCTTTTGAGGTCTGTGGACATTTCTGATACCTTTAAGGGAAGCTTAAGACCAACTTTTATCCCCATTTTTTTTCCATCATTGTCTTCATCTTACTGTGAAGAGCCATGTGATGTTATGTTATTGAGAAGTGCTTTGTAAATGTTACTTGCTTACTGAAAAGTCAAAAATCGACTTACTTTCAGCATGTATGATGCATGTCTATCTGTCCATTTAGTCTTTAGAAAGAGAGAGGACATCTGCAGGAGGAAAGATGTCTGCTAACATCTCAAGCTATTTATTTTTTACATTTGCTGCAGACTTTAGCTTTTAAGGCTCGGTTGTCATACGGCTGGTTATAGGAAGTCAGTGCAGACTCAGCTTGCAATTAAAATGTAATGCTCTAAAATGTTTTTCTTCCAGGAAACAAATTATGTCCTGTGAAAGTAAGTCAACAGCTTCTCTGAATCCATTTACTGCAGAAAAGACGTTTTTAGAAATGTTATTAAATTGCCAAATGCTTTTATGATGAAAAAGGAAGGTTGAGGAAAGCTTTTAGCCAAACCATCAAGTATCAAAGTCAAAAGTAACACAGCGCGTCATTTACAAGAAAAAAAAAAGTATAATTTTATTGTAACTGAAGTGGAAGGAAGCAGGAATCTGAAGGTGTGGACAAGGTTTATAGAGGGAAATTAGTCTCAAAATGTTTTACAAACATGCGTGTTATGATCCATCAGCATAAACTAACTTGCAAATGTACTTATTTATTGTGCGTACTGTATCTGTAACTTGTAAATGTATGTTTTGTAGTCGAGGAGTGATGGGCTGTTCTGTTTATTCAGGAAAAAAAAACAAAAACAAAACGTTGTTTTATTTGAAAAACACATGAGGAAGCTCAGATGTCCCGGTTTCCACTAGCACCTGAATCAAATCATTTGTACACATTTGTAAATATTAGTTTAGGCTTGTGTGTCACAACATACACATTTTCTACCATTTTTGACACTAACTGCACTCGATTAAAGTTCAGAAAGACTACAGGAACAGCTGAGTGTATTACATATACAGAAACCGTACCACATGTAAAGAGCCCGGGGGTTGATGCGGGCGCAGTATGCAAATAGTCGGTTGAACATGGTGGTTTGCCATCTCACGTGAAAAGGAGACAACATCAGGCCACGACTGGCGAGCCATGACTCATAGCTGATCCGATGCGTCACCGATGACTGCAGGACAGAAACAAAGTCAGCGCACGAGCACATCCACATTTAGAAAGCACGTCTAACTGGAGTTATTCTGTAAGAGCTTAGTGTTCACATATTTCCAATGTCCGGACCTCAATAAGCTGTAATCACAAAAGGTTCTGCATATTGAAACCCCCAATCAGAAGGAGAATTTTACACTATTCATCTCTAACTTTATATAAGCTACAAGGGGTTACAATGTTAAAAATTGCCCACCGATGCATGTAATGATAAAAGCAGCCAAATGCTTAATCATTGTAAGAAAAGGAAAAGTCGAGGGAGGAGGACCGACTGAAATAGTTTACACACAAAACAGCTCAGAAATGAGGCCGCAGACTGCCTCTAACTTGGTAGGAAATAAGGTTTTTATGTTTATAAATAAAACAAAGGCTTCTCAAATCTGAAACTGGGATTTAAACTCCACTGAACATTAAAATTGATTTCGCAGTGATATTTAAAGGCTTTCAAAGTCTTCATTAACTCATCTGTACACTGTTCAAAATGCAGCTGAAATTGAGCAGATGTTGATATTACAAGCCTCATTCACTGGCTCCTCTGTATCTTTAGATCTGACAAGATGTTACATGTTTTTACATGGGGATATACTTTTGGCTAGCAAAAGTGTCTGATTCAACTGCAACTTGCTAAGGGTCATTTAACCAAACCCTGTGTCGAGTCAAGAAAATCCTAAATAAATTCAATTTTGCTCACCCAGTTATAGTTTTTTAAAGTCAAAATATATGACTAATAGCTGGGATAGGATCCAGCAGGCCTGCAACACTAATTAGGATAGCCAGTTAATGAAAACTAATAAGTGGACGGATGCCTTGATGGATGTCTCAGTTTTAAAAAAATAGGTTAATAACAAATTTTCTTTTTTCTCACTAATCCTTGAATGTGCTTCCACACTAATAATGCTACAGTGGGGCAAAAAAGTATTTAGTCAGCCACCGATTGTGCAAGTTCCCCCACCTAAAATGATGACAGAGGTCAGTAATTTGCACCAGAGGTACACTTCAACTGTGAGAGACAGAATGTGGAAAAAAAAAAATCCATGAATCCACATGGTAGGATTTGTAAAGAATTTATTCGTAAATCAGGGTGGAAAATAAGTATTTGGTCAATAATAAACATACAACTCAATACTTTGTAACATAACCTTTGTTGGCAATAACAGAGGTCAAACGTTTACTATAGGTCTTTACCAGGTTTGCACACACAGTAGCTGGTATTTTGGCCCATTCCTCCATGCAGATCTTCTCGAGAGCAGTGATGTTTTGGGGCTGTCGCCGAGCAACATGGACTTTCAACTCCCGCCACAGATTTTCTATGGGGTTGAGGCCTGGAGACTGGCTAGGCCACTCCAGGACTTTCAAATGCTTCTTACGGAGCCACTCCTTTGTTGCCCGGGCGGTGTGTTTTGGATCATTGTCATGTTGGAAGACCCAGCCTCGTTTCATCTTCAAAGTTCTCACTGATGGAAGGAGGTTTTGGCTCAAAATCTCACGATACATGGCCCCATTCATTCTGTCCTTAACACGGATCAGTCGTCCTGTCCCCTTGGCAGAAAAACAGCCCCATAGCATGATGTTTCCACCCCCATGCTTCACAGTAGGTATGGTGTTCTTGGGATGCAACTCAGTATTCTTCTTCCTCCAAACACGACGAGTTGAGTTTATACCAAAAAGTTCTACTTTGGTTTCATCTGACCACATGACATTCTCCCAATCCTCTGCTGTATCATCCATGTGCTCTCTGGCAAACTTCAGACGGGCCTGGACATGCACTGGCTTCAGCAGCGGAACACGTCTGGCACTGCGGGATTTGATTCCCTGCCGTTGTAGTGTGTTACTGATGGTGACCTTTGTTACTTTGGTCCCAGCTCTCTGCAGGTCATTCACCAGGTCCCCCCGTGTGGTTCTGGGATCTTTGCTCACCGTTCTCATGATCATTTTGACCCCACGGGATGAGATCTTGCGTGGAGCCCCAGATCGAGGGAGATTATCAGTGGTCTTGTATGTCTTCCATTTTCTGATGATTGCTCCCACAGTTGATTTTTTCACACCAAGCTGCTTGCCTATTGTAGACTCACTCTTCCCAGTCTGGTGCAGGTCTACAATACTTTTCCTGGTGTCCTTCGAAAGCTCTTTGGTCTTGGCCATGGCAGAGTTTGGAGTCTGACTGTTTGAGGCTGTGGACAGGTGTCTTTTATACAGATGATGAGTTCAAACAGGTGCCATTCATACAGGTAACGAGTGGGGGACAGAAAAGCTTCTTACAGAGGACGTTACAGGTCTGTGAGAGCCAGAGATTCTCCTTGTTTGAGGTGACCAAATACTTATTTTCCACCCTAATTTACGAATAAATTCTTTACAAATCCTACCATGTGAATTTATGGATTTTTTTTTCACATTCTGTCTCTCACAGTTGAAGTGTACCTCTGGTGCAAATTACTGACCTCTGTCATCATTTTAAGTGGGGGAACTTGCACAATCGGTGGCTGACTAAATACTTTTTTGCCCCACTGTATAATTATCCCCTGCTGTTTTTATTGTGAATGGCACTTTCCTCTTTGTTTGTACCTGATTTTAATATCTTTTTGCGCTGCACCTTTGGACTCTCTTCTTCCTTGTTTACTTGTGTTTTGCTTTGTAATTCCACGAAATTTTAAGGGTTAGAGAGCAGATCTCTAGGTTGCCAGGTTTTCCAGGATACATGGAAATCCTGAGTTATACTCTATTCTACTGCAGGTACTCGCTTATAGTTTACTCTGATAGCATTTAAAGACAGACAGGGTCTTATATTTCCCACATTTTCTGCTCACTTTAAGCATTAAACGCATCTCATGGACAGACATTGTGAAGTAATGGCCGTAATGTGTTTAATAGCGGGGTTTCCAGCGGTTCCAGGGCTGCTCTGGCCTGTTTACACGAGTGCCCACAGCTCAAACCTTCTAATGGTTAAATCCATTCACGTGCGTTAGCTGACAGACTGCTGAGCAGGAAGAAAAACAAAAAGGCAAATATTCACCCTGAGCAGCGTGTCCGCCAGATAGACAGCACACCAGCCTGCCATCACAAACACCAGCAGGGACACGGGGATCATGGTGCAGCCGTTACAGGACTCCACACCGCGCCGCCTTCATCACTCTCTCTGCCCGCCGTTTGTCACGCAGCTGGCCGCCGTCATTAGCGTCCAACGCTGCCATAAAATGCCGTCACTTACGGTGAACTGCAAACAGACAGAAAGGTTTGATTTCACGAATGCCGTGAATCGGAAGGAGTGTCAGCACTGCGCGACAAAACTCCGGCTTCTTCTTCTTCTTCGACACTTTCTTTTGTCCCTGCCAATATTGCGCCATCAGGTGTTCAACTGCAGCATCTCACTTTTCATTTTGGGTAGTTTTTACAAATTTCTAATTAAAAAAATTAAAACAAAAATAATTACATTTGCAGTAAAAAATAAAAAGTATTTTTAAAAATTCACAAATTCTAAATACTAGTAAAGAAGTAAAAAATATAATTATAGAAATTACATATAAAAAGAAATAAATTAAATGGCAGAAATTGATAGAGAGAATTTTTTTAATGTAAATTAAAAAAAGCAAAAAAGCAATTCACAGTGGATTGTCCCAGTGCTTACTATATATAGGGCACAGAGCTGTAACCCTAAAAATGGAGAATTGCATAATCAGTTGGCTCAGCTGCAGACACAAAAATGAAAGTTTGTTTTTGGATATTAGATTTCATCCTGCCAAAAGGTCAATGGGGGTAAAAGGAAACCAATAAATGTGGATTGCCAGAGTCAGGCGCAACAAGAAAATAAGCTCCCAGTCTGACTCATTAAGCCATAAATGTGGCCAAGGGAACATAAAACTGCTTGTGGATAAAGGCCAACATGTTGCTGTACATCAGTTCCTACAGAGCCTTCAGCCTTTCCGAATAACTGTGTTATTTGAGCTTAATGAGGACACAGCTGCAGATGAAAACTGTCTATTTGGGTGCAATAAACCCCCCTCTAAAAGGTTAAACCCCAATTTCAGTTTACCTCCTCCTTTATGAGGTTTTACTCTTAAAGTAAGTAATATCAAACTTTGCCACAGCCACATTTATCTCCTTTTAGGCCCTGCGGCAACAGTTTGTGGTTGTGCGCTTAGTGATACCGATTATACACACCATGGTGTATTTATTTTATCCACAGACAGGCAGATTATATTGTCTGTAAAGCTCCTTTTTTCATTATTTGCCTATGAAATAAACTTCCTTTTGGCATTTCTAGGTTAGTTTGGAAGATATTTACATAGTCCTGAGGAATATGTAAATGGTTATTCCTCAGGACTATGTAAATAACTCGATCACCTTTAAGTCACTTTGGATTGTCAGACTTTGAACCTTACACTGGACTAGCAGATGCCTTTTAAACAACATTTAAACTTTTCCCATTAAAAAAAATATCAACATTATTATGGGAGCATGATTCTGGATTTCCAACAAGGTAAATGTTTTCAATGGAGAAAAAAAAAAGAACATATTTGATGGGGTTTTTGTTCAGGTGAAATGAATGATTGATTGAGCTCTACAGTATTCCCATTATTGAATGATGATACTTTTCCACAGGTTTTCTTTGTTTTAAAGGTGATATACAGCATAAACAACTTCAGAGCCACAGCACAGACCAAAACAAATGAGCACATTAGCCACACCTTCTCACTTCCTTCATGATACATTTATAACCAAAAGCCAAAAGCAACACCCAAATACAATTAGCTCTATGCAATACATTGAATATCTATTAGATGCTGCAGTTACCACCTGTAGAGTTTGCTTGTTTGTTTTTTCAGTTATCTTCGGGGAGGGGGGGGGGTTTCAGTGTGTGCCATCTTGCTTTTATATTGCCGTGTTGAGCTTAATGGCCTTCATAAGCATGTGGCTGGTCAAAAGTTTAAAAGTGAGGGACTTGCGACTAGTGACTGGCTGGACCAGCTCCAAGATAAAAAATCCGGAAACTAAAATTACAACACGAAAAGGAAATATGACCCCAGTGCTCTGCTACTAGTTGTTTTTTCTATAATAATACTCAAAGTCTTTCAATTATAGATTTGTGCAAAAGAATATTTTCTCAGGATTCCATGCAGTTCTTTGGAAAACTAAGTACAATCCAGAGGAATTGAGTGTGTAAGTAGCAGCCAGAAGCTGCTAATCAAATGCATTCGATTAACTGATCATCAGCAAGTTTAAGCACATCTATAAAAGCAAAAGAACTTTGAAAAATAACAAACCTGCACGACTTGGTTGCAAGGTTGTGTTTACAACAAACCACCAGATTTCAAATGTCCTTTGAATGAAGTGGAGATATTTTTCCATAATGCACAGCACCACGTTTGGTGAAAACCAAACACAGTATATCAGCACGACCGCCTCATCTGACAAGCACAGTTGTGGAAGGGTGATGATACGGGGTTTTGTCTCAACCAAAGGAACTGGGCATCGTGTACCAACTGAATCGAAAATTAATGTATTCTAGACTCAAATGTGCCAAGCTGTAGCAGTACTGCTGGCACAGCTTGGCTGAAACTGGTTCATGCAACAGTTCAACAGTCCCGAAGCATAGCAGCAAACCTATAACAGAATGGCTGAGAAAGAAAAGAATCGAGGTGTTCCAGTGGCTCAGTCAAAGTTCAGAATACAACCCGAATGAAATGCTGTGGTGACTATTAAGAGAGTTGTGCATAAACAAATCCCAACAAACCCCAATCAACTGAAACAACACTGTAAAAACTAGTGGGCCAAAATTCTCAGCAAGCTTTTAAATCCTTTAGGTCTACTTTCTTTTTCACAATACTGTAGAACCTTTTACAGACTGCTCTATCAAGGCAGAAAAAACAACTTGACAAAAACCTCATCGTTACATATCCATAAAAAGTTCTTTGACTTTCTCCTGCACCACAAGATTCAGTCATGTTTGATCTTTGTACTTTATACAGCCAATTTGCAATTAATCAGATCATGTCGAGAAATGTTATGCCTTGGATTTTCCCTCCTCTGGGCTCCACCAACCCGATCTCTGCAACAACACAATAAACACATTCAGTGATGAAAGTGTTTATCTATAATAGACCAGGACGGTCCTTCCCAACAGTTGAGACCTGTGTGTGTGGGTTGCATTTGCATATTTTGAAATATATAACAAGCTTTCAGTTTGAGCCTCTTCATTTTACTACCCAGGGACACAACAGGTCAGTGTAACAAGCCTGACGATCGCTGTGCTTTGCTGCAATAAATGTGAACAGCCTCATTTGAAGAACACATCCAGAGAGAAAGGTAGGTTGAATGTGTCATAATGACTTCAAACATACAGAAGTGCACACACATAAACACACACACAGACACACACACACCTATCCTTGTCTTTGTTACATTATAGGGCCACCTGTCCAAAACATGCATCGTGGGATCTAACTTTTCTGCTGGTTGTAAAGCACTGAAAAATACTAGAAACCGCATTCTGGGAACTTGTCAGGTATTTTGTAATTAAAAAATTTGATTAAATATAAAAGTTATTTTCTTTGGTCCCCATACTTATTCTGGTTCCCACCCCATGACTGTGCTAACAGGTCCTTGTCCCCACAATGTAATAAAGACAAACACACACACAGACGCACAGAGGCTGAAACTCATTTTACTTCTCTGATGCTGGGTCGGGTTCCACTCTGGGAGGAGTTTTCTGTCTCGCAAGCCAATCAGGACAAGCGGAAACAGGTCAGGTAGCCGAAGAGGACCTCAGAGAGCGCACAGGCAAGGCAGAGCAGCTACGCACACCAGGAGGTAAGAAAGCACACACTCATTCATAGCCACATGCGCACCTTTAACTCTGTGGGATCACAGGTCTCCTCTGGGCTTCTGGTTGTACATCAGCGTATAAACGCAGATATACCAGCATGACTGCTTCTTTCTGTGTGTTTGTGTGCGTCGGGGTAGAAATAGGCCAGTCCCATTTTAGTCACTGAGATTAGGAAAGGGTGTTTTCGGGACTCAAGTGTCAGGGTTTGATGAAGAGCTAAAAATTACCATGCATCTCATCTCTGAATGCCATATAAACAGATAGATTTGAGTTTCATGAGTAAAATGTTTTATTTTCTGAATGAAGCTGCAGTGAAATTATTTTACTCTTTGGAACATTTTGCTACATGAGTAGATTAAAAAAAATCCAAATGCTTAAATCAGTGACCTCACTTCTCATTATGAATGAATGAATATCCGATAATCTAGCAGACAGTTTCATGGTTCATTCTTAACTGGAGCATTTTTCTGCAATTGTTTAAAACCTTAAAAGCAATTTGAAATTAGGGATCAAGTCATCATAAATATTGCTGAATGAGATTGAATTACATTGGCAGACAAGCTGGATCGTAATTTTTTTAAATTAAGTTTGGTCCTAACGTGAGTCCCTTATTTTTTGTCAATCAGAACATTACAATATATGAGAGCTTCTGGTTCATGCTGAAATGCCCTGAAGGTACATATCTATTTCGCATTATTTCCCTGTAAATATAACTTAAGTAAATGTTTGCATCAGCAAATATCATAAAAGCAGCCATAACAGAAGCCGGCAACATTGTGTTTGATTGGTTCATGGTTAAAGCATCAGATTTTTAAATGGTGTTTGGCCCAGTCAGGTACGAGAAAAATCGTCTTTTTTAAGTTTACAAAGATCTCACTGTAGCTTAAAAATATGTAAACATCATATATGCAGACGGTGCTGCATTTCAGTGGTCTGCATTAAAAAATTTTAAAAACTTTTGGATCTTATTTGAAGAGTTTTAAAATGAGTGTGGATTATGAATTAATACATGTAAAAAGTGTTAAAGTCACTATGGTCTTGGAGTTAAATGTGTTTTGCTGCTCCTGACTAATCTTGTAAATGTAGTTTTAAAAAAAGAACCCTTTAAAATCTATGCAAATTAAGCTGTTTCCAGTGCTCAGTGCGTCTGTTTGACTGTGTTTTGGTCCGTCGCTGTGTGTGTCCATGTGAGCATAGATAGAAAGCAGGTCCCTTCTGTGTATCACTCGTCTATTTATAGTGAGAACAAATCCCAGATATGAGAGGAATCCTCCTACCACTTACAAGGCAAAGAGAGAGAGTTAGTGAGTGTGAAAGAGGGAGAGGGAGAAGGAGAGAAAAGAAAGGAAGAGAAAGAGATGGAGAGAAGACAGGCAAATAGTGCGTGAGGAGTCAAATAAACAAGAGCAGTGGGTTTAAAAAAGCAAGCATCAGAAGAAAGAGTTGTTTCATCGACTGGTAAGTTCAGTCTCCTTTACATAATGTTATGTCTATGTGCTGTGTTTTTATT